CAAGGTCAGCTTGCCCGACGTGACGGTCGTGGACGGCTGCATGTGTATCTAGGAGGTAGCGGGGGGGGGGATGGGGGGGGGCGAAAGATATCGGAGTCAGGGAGTAAGAGAAAAACCTCGTTTGCGTGCTTCCTGAGGCCACTTCAGACCCAAACTTGTACATAGGGCAGCCCCTCATTGCGCAGAGCAGTTTGATCGATCTTGACCTGGCTGGTCACACAGGATATCAATACATAATAGTTTACTCAATAGGTTTACTTGATAGGTTGGGCGTTGATATACTGGAATTTCATAATATTTCAAAATGGGCAGTGGACAGTGACAATAACACTAAACAATGATACCAATAATATTAAAGATTATAGGTGATAATGATATACAAAAAGAGAGAAAAAAAGTAAGTTAAATGAAACCAAAGAAAAAAGAAACACGAAAAACGAAAACGGAAACAAAAAGAAAAAGAAAACAAAAAGAAAAAGAAAACAAATTAAAGACTAAAAATTGAAAAAATATAAATTGATAAACAATAGACTAGTAATAAGAGAAAAAAGCTTGAAAACCTCTCATCTGAAGCGAGACATAACTATCTTAATGATTAAATAAATTCATTATATGTTAGGTAATAACAGCAAATATTGAAAATTGATATATCCTGAAACATCATCTCAGTAGGGATAAGAAAAACCTACGTTCTTAAAATGTTTATTAAAATAATTCAAAATGGCAGAAAGGCGATTTTATTTATTGAAAATCCCCCCCCCCCCCCTTAACGGGCAAGGGTTTGAGGGGGCAGAAAGACGAAGTCATTGCTGGTGTTCCTTTATGTTGGAAATGAAAAAGGTTTTATATGTAAAGCTATTTTCAGATTTGTCCCTTCTTGCATGGTGAGGTATATATGAGAACAAGACTGTATGACATAAGAATTAGCCACAAGATACTGTCCTGGTTTATCTCTGGCTGTTAAAGATGGACTTTTCACAATATGTTTCAACATCAATTGTTAAAAAAATCATAGTATAAAAGACTGTAAAGACTATAGTGAAATGAATGGAAACCAAGATTTTTTTTATAGTCTCTCAGGAACAGACAAAGGCACTGTGAACAGAAGGCAGTTGCTTAAGTCACTTTGCTTACTTTGCAACAGCATCACATATTTTTTCTCTATTCTTACATTAAACTACCTATTAAGTTTGAAACAGTCACAACCAATATTTACAGCATATCACATTTCCCCCCCCCCCATGTATATACCAAGAAAAAATTACCTCATACATCTACAAGATTTTTATCTTGAGTGAAGATATCAAAACAGGAGCATCAAAACCTATTTAAAGTATTTATATTGTATAAACTTTGTACTGTTTTTATATTGGACTAATTTATTTATTGAAAATTTTCGGTTGCATCATCATCTAAGGTCATCAGTGGTGTATTCACAATATAGTGATAGGTTGAGGGGGGCAAGACCCCCAGGTAAGGAAGTTTTTTGGTTCCATTTTCATAACAGTTTATGGTCAAAACAAGTAAATGTGCTAGACATCAAAGGTCATATGATAAAGTACTGTGCAGAAGTGTAAAAACGAGTTAACAATTAGGATAAGTGAACAGAAGGGAATGAGGAAAAGAAGGAAAAGGAAAGGAGAAGAAAGGACCATGCAAAATTAGTGGAGGTGAGGGTCAAGGACCAAGGTAGTGGTGATCCCTGACACTGGGGCAAGGGATTGGGGATGAGCGTATTAAATATATTCCAACATACTGCTGTACGCTTTAACCCATTGCCGCCGGGGATGGCATGTACGTACATGCCATGCCCACTGAGAGTCGACTTGTTCAATTGTTTTTACACATAGATGGCTACACTTGTACTAAGTATCCAATGAGCCAATTACAGTACTGCCTGTCTCGCCCGTTTACCCTTTTCATCGATTTATGAAAATATTTAGCGTTATCCTAATTTGCTGTTAAAATAACACCATCTATATTTATAGCACTAGTAAATATAATTTTTTTCCTGCCAATTCAAGGAAAGGTGAAATCAGGACTATCAGAGCCATCTATGGACAGATATTTCACAAAAATATAAAAATAAGTACTGCATTTCCCCCATTTTCTGTTCATTTTCCCCGGCGGCAATGGGTTAATGAGTCATCTTATTTGTCCTATACACTGATTACCTCTGTACAGCTTACAAAGATTAATTCACCATGAACTCAATGTTTATTTTCTCATGCAATTCACCTTTTAAACTCAGACTAATGACATGCTTCATCAAAAGTCAAAAGTAGTTCCTTCATTTGAGTCCTTAAAATTGTCAACATCTAATTTGTCTAAGCAATAGACAGATGGCTTGGCACAGCCTAATACGTTCAAATGGCTAGTTATAAAACAGGATTACAGTTCATCTTACAATGTCTAGAATCATTTATTAATCAGTTATGATGAGTCTTGAATATATGGGTTGATTAGACGATTTTACCTCCCCCCCCACTAAAATAAATTAAAAAAATCATCATCACAGTATTTAATACTTCCTGACAATACTAATGGGACCCATTTGGTATATACATTTTCTACTGTTTAAACACCAATATGTAAATAAAACAATCAGAATGTATAATATCCTTTTATGAATAAATGCATTAACCTTTAGTATAAAAGTGTATAAATCATACTGATTTGGAGACACTGTATAGTCTCGACTAGACTGACATTCAGACATGTACTTAGATATCTTTAAAGTACTAAAACACTAACAACCATTCTTTATATATCTTAAAGTGTAAGAAATTTGGTGAATAACTTCTATATTTCACAAATAACAATGAATCTGCTTTCACACTCACTTGACTCAATATGCCACAAATATAGTTAAGTCAAATCACTTACATAACAAATATCACATGTGCTAAACATTCATTGCTTACTTATGATGACAAAACACTTGAGAAAAGCCTCTTTCATCCTATTAGCATGTAACAATTCAAATTTGTGACCAAACACTGCAAATGTTTCCTATTTTACCCTTTCTTATAACAACTAGGTTTTTATTTGCTCTTGTAATTTACATAGCATTTGCATTAAAAATACAATTCTATAGATTTTTTTTTTTTTTACCAAGTTTCTCCATCCAAGGACTGAGAAAAATTACAACAATTACAAAAATTAGTAACCGTTTGTTTATAAAAAACTGAAAATTGTCACAGCATGAATAGGCAAAAATTCCTTCCCATCAAAGAGACTTTCTGCTTTTACATCAAATCATTCACAAGGATTCCCACTCTTGCTACATTAAAGGATCAAGGAGTGGATCGTATGCCCGATGTTTTCGCCAATGGTCCAGCAGAATGCCAACCACCACTATGACCCCCATAGCCACTAACAGAGACCAGATGATGGTTAATGTTGGAGTGTCTAAGAGAAAGAGAAGAGTTTTGATTGAAGGAGCCATGTCTGGGGGCATTGCAGCCTTCTCCTCAAACCAAAGCATGGGCAGGTAAGCATTTGGCAGATCCTTCAGGATGCTGTGAGAAAATATTACATATGAAATAAATACATCACTTGGCAAAATGTTAACATTGTATTCTCTGCAAAATCGGAGATATAGAATAACACAAAAAACAAAGCCATTATGAAAACAATTCCATACAATACAAAAGCATGTCTTATAGGCTACTCACTCAATCCGGTTGAAATGGAACTTTCCTTTTCCTTCGTATGGCTGGATGCGGATGTTGATCTGCACTCTTGCAGCCACATTCATTGGTGTTCCCAGTTCCTGTAGTATGCAAATCATTACAAGAGGAAAGGAGGTGAAGTGTGTGGATCAGATGATATACAAGTGTAATATTTTTGAGTTGTATAAATAATACAAGTTCATAAAAAAAAATTACCGGAATAATATCCATGTAGAAAGCGTGTTTCTCTTCCTCTGGCTTTAGACCATTGACCATGTTTAGGAGGTATGGATCAGCATTAAAGAAATGCGGGAAGGAGATAAATGCAGGAGCACCCATCCTACATGACTCTGCATTTAACAACCCTAGAACAGAAAGTGGTACAAACTCAACTGATTATAGAAAATATTTGTCCGTCTCTTCAGTGTGTTCCATAGTTTTATCAACATCATATGTAAGAAAAATATATAAACGAAAATGAATGCCTTAAACATGAGACAGAAGTTTCTCCTTTCTATTTAATCATCATCATAATTCTATACATTAGCAAGATTAAAAAACATGGTGTATATTTGCAGGAAATTGAGGATTCATTGACATCTGTGACCTGTCACTCATTATCAAAATAACATTGCAACACTGGATAATTTTAAGCTGCTATATATAGTGTCCACGTTCCTTTGTTGCAATAAAAGTAACTCCTATTGATTTTTTTTGTCTATATTGTCCACCATGAATTACTTTTACTTGCAGATATCCAGTTTCATCTATGTTTAACATCATAGAATTGGCATACCAACACACATTAACTATTTTCACAGGATCAAAACCAGTATATGCCACTCTCATCTGTTCCATGGTATGCAGTATACAGTGCTTTGGTATTCCTTACAGGTGGCTTATAATCTAAAAAAAAATTCCTCTTTATCCCAACATATTGGCCCTTTTAATGATATTATGAAAGACCTGCTGACTGCCTCATCATCTACTGGCCTAGCCTTGGTAAAGGTAGATTATGTTTCTGCAGTGGTCCTTCTCAAAGAAGCGTGTTAAATTTCTTGCAATGAGAAGGCATTCATTCTCAAATTTTCCTACATTTTTCAATGTTCATCTTAAAGTTTATTTGGATCCATGTGATAAAACACAAGACACAAACAATATCAAAATTCGAAACTAAATCCATATATTTAGTGATATTTGCATCACTTACAGCAAAGGCCATTAAGCCCTTACCTGTTGGAGCACAAGTACCCTTGACACAGTAGCAATCATTGCCAGGAACAACTGATCCATTTGCAAAGGTGGTATTACTACCCCAGAACCTGTAACCTCTTATTCCATCATTGGTTACATTCTCCTTGTAATGTAGCTTCACACTCCTGTTGGAAAGGCATAAAAATATATTATCTTGCATATAGCACAGCCCAAAGACATCTGAAATTCTTTTTTGAGAATTCATTGTGTAGACACTTGAGCAGCATGAAGGTTTCCAATAAACATTTCTTATTACAAAAGTTTATTATAAGTTTTTGGCTTAAAAGTAGCATGTGCCTTCATCTTGCATAAAAATAAGATTAAGACGCCCATTACAAAACACTCCTGTGCCTTCGATGACAAAAATCTAAAACTACTTGCACGAAACCCATCCTAAATGGGTGTAGTGAGTAGTGAGGGAAAGAAGGGTATAGTCAGAGGGCATAGGGAGTAGAGAGAAACTTACATGCAAAGGTCAGAACTGTAGATGATAACATGGTCTTGTTTCTGGTTAGGAGGGAACATCTCACCAGCAGAGCCAGTGACACTGTTGCATGGAGGAGAGAAGAATGGAGTTGATCGCGTCTTGTTCCACCAGTCAATCTTACCTGTAAATTATTACTATTTTTACTATGAAATGTCAAAATTGCATATATCATAAATTTTCAACAAGATTAGCAAATTACCTTGTATTCTGATTTAGTACATGAATTATTACAGCAGAACATTTTCATATACCTGGGAACAATCCTCACCTAAGTTTTCAAGTGTGTCTGCTCCAGTTTTCATGTTGAACAATCCGTCGTAGTATGTTGTCAAATTACGCTGAAGGAATAAAAATACAGGTGAAAAGAGGGAGGGAGGGAGGGAGGGAGGGAGAGAGAGAGAGAGAGAGAGAGAGAGAGAGAGAGAGAGAGAGAGAGAGAGAGAGAGAGAGAGAGAGAGGGAGAGAGGGAGGGATAGGGAAGGAAGGAGGGGAGAGAGAGAGAGAGAGAGAGAGAGAGAGAGAGAGAGAGAGAGAGAGAGAGAGAGAGAGAGAGAGAGAGAGAGAGAGAGAGAGAGAGAGAGAGAGAGGGAGGGAGGGATAGGGAAGGAAGGAGGGGAGGGAGGGAGAGAGAGGGATAGGGAAGGAAGGAGGGGAGGGAGAGAGAGGGATAGGGAAGGAAGGAGGGGAGGGAGAGAGAGGGAAAGGGAAGGAAGGAGGGGAGGGAGAGAGAGGGGGAGAGGGGGAGAAGGGGAGAGGGAGCGTGAAACTACAACAGGTTATTGAGAAATATCCCAAAATATACTTCAAGCTAAGCAAAAACCATCATTTTCATACATACACCGTAAAACCAAGCAAATTTATCGTAGCTAGTAAAGGATGAAAATGCTGGGTGTTTTTTCATCCAATCCAGCACAGGATCCTGTTGAAGATCAGGTGAGGTTAATCAATAACCAATAATCAATAAGTGCAATAATGACAGTGATTGCAATGATAAAAAAAATTAACAATAACAATAACCAATACAGATAATACATGAACCTTAAGGGAATATATGATCTAAAAAAAATATGCAAATAAGTTCCACTACAGTACCTCATAACCAGAAAAAAGGATTTGTTCGGCAGTGGTGGTGACAACAACTTTTTCCTTGACCTTCGTAAATAAGGCATTCAACATACCAAGGAAAAATGCATTAGTGTGTACATTCCATGCTGCTGCCTGGAACAAAATAATTTGTGACTTAGATCTAGGGAAAAAAGGATAGATAAAACACACAACCTGAGAAGACTTGTAAATACAACCAAAATAGGAAATGTTTAAATGGGATTCATAAAACTGTGCTATAAAGCTAATGCCACCAGGGACGGCATGTACATTTATTACTAGTAATAACTAACCTGTTTAACCTGTTTAACCTTTTCAAGAGTTTTCAAAAATATTTTCTTTGATCTTTTATCATCATTAGTGACATTGATAACATTATAATGTCTAATGTAGAAAAGGTATGAATGAGAATTAATATCTTCAGTACAAGAGATGTATTTGACTGGTTTCAATTATATCTCCTTCAGAAAAACATGTATATTTCTGAAGATAGAATTGAAACCAGTCAAATGTATCGCTTGTACAGAGGGTATTCATTCTCATTCATAACTTTGCTCATGTTGATAAATGTAGAAAAGTCTAAAATAATAATACCACTAGCACCAAGAGACTTGGGTAAAACAATTTTAACTTTCAATGTGAAGAGACTATCCCAAAAACAATATTACAATGAATACTATTTTTTTCTCTGAGGCATTGGGTTAAGTAGATGATGATTGGGTTCAATTTTATTTTGCTAAAAACAATTTTCTGGTGTTCGCTACAACTTCTTATTCAAACATTCATCTAATAAGTAATTTTTAACTTAATGTTGCTGGGAAAATGCTGCGCTCATTAAAAAAATTCTGTGAAATGTCTCTGCAAGTGCTTAGCCACAAAGTACAAGTGAAGCCATCTATGTCTAAAAAACAATAAAATAAACTCAAAGGGGGCATGTCATGTACATACATGCCATGCCCATCGCTTATGAGTTAATGGAATTCACCCATGAATTTGGGAAGCCTTGCTGACATCATAAGGTAACTCCTTACTGCATGGAAGCAGGTGATACTTCAGATCTGAGGACACCAGATGTGATGGGAGAAACAGAAGTACAATGGAGCAAGATTGGAATGCAAGCCTCTTAAGTTAAGCCAGATTAAGATGATCCAGCAGCAGACCTAGAAGCTGATGGCACCATCATGGCTTCCTGCATCCTAATTTGTTCAATGGCTGGAGCACTTCAAGGGAAAATATCAAAACTACTTATCAGATTGAATTCATTTGATTACATTCACCATATGATACCCAAGCAAGTTTTGGCAAATAAATGTATATTGATTCAGGCCATCACCTTTAAAGTTTTGATGTATACCTTTCACAAAAGTATATCCTGCAATCATCTAAAACTAACAAAAAGTTACCGGTATATCCTTTAACCTTTAGATACCTTGAATGATACACAAATGCTCAATGGTTTTTCAATACCAAAGTACTTTAAGGTAATGAAACCATTATAACAAAGAATATTTTCCCAATTATTCAAAACTAAGCAGTTTTGTCAAAAAGCTATCTTTGAATGATAGAGAGAGTAAAAAAAAAAAAAAAAAAATCTAAACAAGAGGAAAGAAGTCCTCACAGAACATAGATATCCCTTTAGAGAAATAATCATCATAATTACAGTAACCATATAGAGAGTAAAACAAAGAGAACAACTTACCACAGGTACTGTATTGAGAGTGACAATGACGTCATCTCGTGAATTATTGCCTGAAAGTTCCTCGTCCCAAATCCACCACCTCTGCTGGAAATAGGTGACTGTGTTGTTGGCGTTGAAGGTGATGTTCTTCTTTTCGTGGTATTCTCTGGTCATGTAAATTTTACATTTCAGGCTGATTGTAAGTGGTTTTGGTAAACAAATGAGGAGAGAGAGGGGGGGGGATGGGTGTGGGGGAGAGGAAGAGGTTAGAAGAGAAATTGGTGGAGGAGGAGAGGACAACTAGGGAATGGGAATGGGATGGACAGAAAGAGAACTTGGGAATGGGGATAGAAAGAAAATGTGAAGGGGGGAAGAGAGTGAAGGAGAAAATGGAAGTGGGAGAGAGATGGACAGAGAAAATAGGAAGAGGAAAGGGGAAGGACGGGAAGTGAAAATGGGTGGGGGAAGGAGAGGGACAGGAAGAGAAAATGAGAGGGAGAAGGACAAAAGAGAAAATGGGAAAGATGGACACAAAAAGGAGACAAACAGGCTGAGGGGAGGGGGGCACTGGCGTGGCCACGGGGGGGTATGGGGGGGCAATTGCCCCCCCACTTTTGCCAAAAGATGGTCCTCGAGATTCCTTTAAAATCGAAGAGAAAATGGCGGGGTATAGGTTGGGTAATAATTTTTCCGAGAAATGCCAGGAGGAGATTACGTAATTGAATTATGTGATGGCAATTTATAGTTCTCCTTTGATTCGAATAATTGTAAGTGATCTATGAGGTCATACATCTGTATTGGATTGCTATCATCACAAGGAAATTGGATTATGGAAAGTATTCAAATCTTAATCCACATAATGAAGTGCTTTATTGATGACGCTTAACATGAAAACGTTACCTCTTTGTGTGGGTAGAAACTTTACGGGACGGAATCTGCACGCAGGCTAAATATGGTCTGCTCCGCTCAATTTGATAAGTATCACGTGACATATTACACTGCTTCCATTTTTGGTGAAGAAAAAAGGAAATAAAAAGGGGCGAAGAGACAGTTTTTTTCAAACATTTTGCAATGGCTTCAAGTACACTTCGTGACCCTGCGACGGAAAATGTAGTAAACATCGACCAAGTACTCGCGCTTGGACCCATACAACCCGTTATCGATTTCCCTGCTACAAAGTTTGGAGGTAGGGACTATAGATTTCAGAAGAAATGGTACAGTACATATGACTGGTTGGAGTATTCTGTGGAAAACGATGCAATGTACTGCTTCTACTGCAGGATTTTTGGGACTCTTGGTAAGTGACAGTATGGTTTACTTGATTTACCCTTTCTCGTCTGGCTTTTCCAATTTAGAATAACTGATTTTATTCAATTTTCTTTCTTACGGGTAGGTTTATAACCACCGTGAAGCAATTTTTTTGATAGGTTTTTGACGATTGGATGCAATTGAAATATGTTTACATATGCAGAAACGACGACCAGACAGTAATCACTTTATCGTATATTTAAAGGATTTTCGATAAATATTGCAATTTATTCTATCGTTAATTTTTCAGTTGGCTGTGCCGAAACCCCTTTCATCAAGGAGGGTTCTCGAAACTGGAAGAACGCCTTGGGAAAGGAAGGTAAAATAGAGAAGCATATCAAATCGAGAATGCATCAACTGAGCAGAGAGAGGGCAATAAGTAGAACACTTACGCCAATAAATGTTCAGTTTTCGGAGGCAGAAGCTCTAAATGCATCAAGAAAGGAGCAAGAGAAGAAAGAGAACAGAGAAATTGCGGCCGTTATTTTTGATGTAGTGCGACACATCGCATTGCAAAACGAAGCTTTTCGTGGACACGACGAGAAGTCAACGTCTTTAAACCAGGGGAAGTTTCTTGAAGAGATAAAGTTTCTCGCAAAATATCATGCACCACTTCAAAAGTGGCTCGATAGCCATCCTGAAAACGTCTCTTGGCTCAGCAATGACATTCAGAACGAGATGATAAGTATCATTTCTGATAATGTGGTCGAGACCATTAGGGAACAGGTAAAGAAGAGCAGATTCTATTCTGTGGAATGTGACGAAGTCACAAGTCACAAGGATTCCTACATGTCGATTGTGCTCAGATATGTTCACGAGCACACTATCTACGAACGTGTTGTTGGACTTAAACACGTCCAAAGTTTGAAAGGAAAGTCGCTGTCAGACGTCCTAGTTGAAGAGCTTGGCAAGCATCAAATTCCGTTGAAGGACATGATTGGAAAAGGCTTTGATGGTGCTAGCAACATGTCTGGAAAAGACAATGGAATGCAGCAGAAGCTTACAGAGGCTGGTGCAACCATGTCACTCTACTTCCATTGCTTCGCACATCGTCTCAATTTGGTTCTAGGAAAGTGTGCTGAGACACTTCCAATGGTCAAAGAGGTCTTTGAAACAATTGGGTCGATTTTCACGGTGATGGAAGGTTCTCCACAACGCATGGCTGTTTATGAGGAAAACCTCAAAAAGTTTTCAGTCAAAGAAGGTAGAACTGCTCTTCGTGCGTTTTCGGACACCCGTTGGACCGCAAGGGCAGACAATCTTGCCGCCACAGTCAACACCCTACCAGCCCTGATTGCCACACTCGAAGAGCTGAAATCCAGCGACGCAGCTTGTGAAGGTCTGTTGATCAGAATTGGTACCTTTGAGTTCCTACTGAAGGTGCTGATTCTGAAAGAATGTTTTGATCGTTCAAGATATGCATCGGAGTATCTGCAGAGAGAAGAGATGGATATGGTCACTGCAGTAGACTCAGTCACAACCCTTATCCGACAAATTTCTTCGCTCCGCACTGAACAGAAGCTTTCTGATTTTGTGCAGATGGCAAAGGAAAGAGCAGCCGAGTTTGGAATCGTTGATGATTTCAGTCCACCAGATAAAAGACGCCGCACATTACCAAGTCGTTTAGTTGATGGTCAAACCGTGCTTGATGCCTCCTTCAGTTATAGAATTGGTGCTGAAACTGAGAATATTCAAGCAGAATCACAAGAAGATACTTTCCGCCGAAGTTTCTACTACACTCTTTTGGATCTTTTATTAAACGAGTTGCAGAAAAGATTTTCTTCTGAGGCCTGCGAAGTGATGGTTCAACTTTCTGCACTTTGTCCTTCCAAATGGAATGAAGCTAACGTTACCAAAATAAAGAAATTTGCCAGTAGATATGATATCCCCCAAGAAGCAGTTGGTCTTGAGTACTCCATGTTCCGGGATTCAGGATTTTTCGAAAGCTTGCTGCAAGAGATAGAGGAGAGAAAGGCAAAGATGTTCAAAAATCCATACCTGCCCCTTATCCTTAAAAAGTTTTCAGAAGGAGATCTTGCTACCCTCTATCCAAACCTCTTTCGCGTCATCCAGATTGCTGCAACCATACCCGTGACCATTGCCAGCTGCGAACGATGCCACAGCAAGGTAAAGATAATAAACAATTACCTGCGTGCTAAAATGGATGAAGACCGTCTTGAGAGTTTACTGCTCATCAGCAGCGAAAGAGACCTTTCTCAGGATATTAAGTTGGTTGAACTTGTCAATCAGTTTGCCATAAAACCTAGAAAACTTCGCTTGTAAAATAAATTTTGATTGCTAACTAGTGGGTTGCGTAGGTTAATTTCTGAATTTGGTTGTACCAAACATCATTTTAGGTCATCAAGTTTTTCAAACAGTGGCTAACCTACTGTTCAGGTATTTGGATTATGACTTTGCAAGCCATTTCTGACTCATCTAGATCATACATGATCATACCGGGTGATTCAGAAAAAAGTTCCTGCTTTTGAAAATTCAAGAGTACGCGAAGGATTTGAATGATTCACATTCTGGTTGAAAGCCGAACGAACTAAGTATTTTTATGATTTTCTTGCTTTTTCAAGAGCACTGAAAATGTAGACTTTACGAAATTTCTTGGTTGCGAAATGCCTGAAAAAGGGGCCTAAAACACTTGATCACATCATAAGCAGTCTCCTCACATAGAGCAATAGCTCAAAGGCATTCTCCCTCACGACTTGTTATAAAAGAAATAGGTTTAAAACAAATACTGAAGATTTTCAGTCCCTCGGCAATAAACGTGCATATGATATCTCTCATCTGTGAAAACCCGTACTTTCTTTATCGTTCTGTTGGAGGAGTTTGTTCGTCATTTGATCAAGTTTTTTCAGCCTTTAATCGGGCACTTTGAAACAATTAAATTTTCTTAAAGTCAAATTTACCTATACTTTCAGTGTTCATAAGATAACAAAAATACTTCAGTCTCTCGGCTATCAAACAGGAGTTGATTCATTCCAATCCATTCTGTACCCTTGGTGCTATCAATTTTCAAAAGTGAGAACTTTTTTGGCTCACCCCCTTTGTTATGGTACTCTAATATATAATTTGTTTAAAATACTGGTTATCAGGAAATATACGACCTAGATGGCGTTGTAAATCTTCTTCTCTCTAAATGCATTTATCATCATTGTCTGCGTTGGAAAAGAAATGAAAAAATTGTAGGGGAGCTCATATTAACTGATATATAAGATACCTTTTACCAAATTGTCAAACCTTCCATTTTAGCACTGGTAAAATATGGAATCAGAGGATGCATTCTAAGCCAAATTAAAGTATTTTTCTTAAAAAAATTTTCCTCGCCCTCTGATTTATAGAATAACTGCCACAAATCATGAAAGTTTCCTTATCGCTAATGACAAGCATGATATTAGGAGATGCATTCTAAGCCAAAGTAAAGGGCGTGGCCCCAAAAATTTTCCTGGGGGCTTCACCCCCCGACCCCCTCATTAGTTTGCCCCCCCCACTTTATTTACCCTGGCCACGCCGCTGGAGGGGGGGGGGGGTTCTGGGGAGGGCCAAGAAAAAAAAAAAAAAAAACTAACAAAATCAATACTTACTAATCACAATAACAACAATAAACGCTTAAATCAAGAAAAAGAAAGAAAGAAAGAAAAAAACTTGCCTCCAAACATAAGGTCCGCATTCCTGCAAGTCGGGCTTCGCTCCCTTTTGGAAAGCCTCGGCGTTGGTGATGTTGAACAGATACACCTTCAGGATCAGAGGGAATGGCGTCTTCCTCCAGATTTCGTATGACCTGGAACCTTCCTTGATTTCTAGTTGCTGTAGGTGAGAAATTTAGATTTTTCATTCATAATACACTTTTACTTACGCCTGCGCGTTAATACGTGTTTAGGCTGGTGGCGTCTTTTTTGGAAATTGAACGAAATCCTGTACATCTTAATATACATGACATGTGATATCAGAAAACTAATCAGCTGTGCCATAATGCTAAGAATACAACTAATTAAGAGTAAAATCATACATTTTAATAAACAAACGAAACTACATGCACAATTCTTCTGTATACAAAAAAACACGGTAAAAAAAATGAACTAAAATCAATACTGCAATTATAATATCTTGGGAAGGAAAAGGCAAAGGGGAATGGAAGAGTGAACATCGGTGATAAGTTGCAGCCTTCTGGAATCCCAACAAGCAACGGCAAAGGAAAACAACCAATTCATTTCCACAAGCAGAGAGCACACAGGAAAACGTCTCAACCTACCATCTATTATAATGCAAATAATATATGCAAACGACACCGCGAATAAATCTTATCTTCTAGGTACTTCTATTAAAAAGAAAAAGTTATTTGACGCACAATAACTGTATCAAGCGTGTGCAATCGTGATTACATTATTATATAACTGGTGATACATGGCACACGACCACGTAGAGATTCGATAAACGTTCTAAAGCTATTTTTAGTGTTTTAGTTGTTTTGTTGTGCTAAACATCGTGCTGAATCTTTCCAAAAATATAGTAGGAAGCTGACGAAGTAGGGCTACCACATTTAATTAACAATGGCATCGAGAAATGCAAATTATCCAACCCGTCAACGAGTAAAATGCGACGGAGAGCAATTGTACTAAAGAAGGATCATTCCGTATCCATCGCAAAAGGTTTTCGAAAGTCCGAAGCTGGTTGAAATTGGAAATTTACCGACATCGGTACTTCATTCAGCTGAAAGGACTGGGAAATAAGACCATGGTGGAGCTTACATGGGACAGGTAGGATGGGGGGGGGGGGGGTGAGACAGAACGTGAAATCCAGCTGTCTGGAATTCCAACAAGCAACAGTTAATGCCATATTTAGTTCAACCAAAGGAAAAACACCTCTTTATCCCATACGCAGAGTGGACGAAAAAAAACTGATGCAAGTAACTACACTTTCACGCTCTAATTGCTGAGTCATCTGCACTGAATATATGCAAACTTGACTTTCAATACCTTATGTGACATGCCGTGCGCAATTAACTGTATTAGATAAATCTAATATTAAATTTAAAGTGGAAATGCTATTTCTCGATCATAAATACGTTTCATGTAGAGTAAAAAGGGTTGAGTACCGAAGTCTATATGCTTAAAAACGTTTAAACTTCAATATGGTTTCTTTAGAAACCAGACTGCTTCACGTTTTCCACAAATCATTTCGTTTTTATGTCCACTTAACCTATGTAATAAGGTTTTGCAAAGGGGAGCACTTAGTTTACAATCGAGAGTGTGCTATGTATTTCCCAACACGTATCAGTAATACGGTAATAATTGCCACAAGAATAAACATACTAGTAAACAGGGGATGCTCCTTTGTGAACAAAATGCATCTCAATTTTTGGGAAAAGTTTCCGTGTATGACAACCAGGATTGCAGTATAAAAAAGTTTATGGAGTGGTTGCCTTGACGAAAACTAAGACACTTTTCATCTATGGCAAAGGTGCGCAAATCGAAAATAAAGGAGAT